GAAGTCATTAATTAATCAATGCTCAGTGTAAATTTGCAATGTGCAAATTTTGAGTGAAATTCATAGCTACCCTGAGTTTTAATGATAAGGACGGCTAATGAGTCCGATGAGGACGAAACGCGCATTTTGGATTCTACTGCTAGTTACTATCCATAATTAACGGCAAACTAAAACAGCAGGCAACAGCGAGGCATCCGCATTGGAGCCCATATACCAGTGGTGGCCTATCAATCCGGTCCAATCAACGACGGAAAATTACAAGATATAATATCTAAACTATGGCATACCCATAGCCCAGGAAGCGGCTGCAGACACTCAGTTGCCTAGTGGGTAACTATATGCAGTTTGAAGTGACTTGTCTTGAGTTCAAGTCATAGTGAGAAGAACATCACTCACTGGGAGACAGATGTATCTAGTCCCTTCTAGGACGAAAAGCACGTCATGGATTCCGCTATTGGCCAATATTTAGATATAACATCTCATTTATCAGTATTTTTCTCCAAAAAATGCCTACAAACAGAGAAAATATGATTAAAATATCTCGTCACCTACAATTTTGATTCACATTCATTATACAACATAGTGTCTCAACCATAAAGTGAGTCAGCTGTGTGGCAGTTCACATTACATCTATTGTTTTTCAGTCGCATATATTGTGGCTTACACTATGATTGTTAAACGTTGGTAACTAAGTTAGTGTTGCTTGTAATTGTGAAGAGAAGTATCTCCAACGACTTTTGCCTTAATCGTTCATTTTCCTGCATCAAGAGTATGCCAACTTCTATGAAAGGTGAACGCTAGATACAATCGAATCGCTGTCACTTTTTGGCTCAGATCACCATTTACCTTCAACATGTTTATGAAGACTAACCTCGTTAGAGGTAGTCAGTGTATGTAACCGATTCAACAATACGTAATATCTTATGATAAATATAGAATTTTTAAACCAATAGAAAATGAACAGCCACTCGACCAATAAAATGCATACAGCTCATAGCTTATTGGTTATTCTTTTCCCAAATGACATTGAAAAACAAATGTAAGGCGTCATCGCTATATTTTCAGTTGTAAAAACTAGCTAATTAACTGCATAATGGATATTTCATCTATGTCCTTCATATGATAACAAAAGTTATTTGAGTCGACTAATTTTATTAAGGATAGACGTCATTGGATAGTAGTAAGAAAGCCCAAAAAGAAAAATGTCTCAAAGGTCCCTATTACGTAGTCTAGCACTGCAATATCTTTTCCTCTAAAATATTGAATTAAGACACAATAAAGCAATTTAATCAACAGAATTATTTTTCACCCAATCGGATTAAAGCCCACTTATGGTATATTGGTCGACACATAATGTTATAATTTATTTGATCAAGGAATTTAGCATGTACGTTTCGTTCAATTGGAAAAGTTGTCCTCTCAGACACTCGATAATGATGGACTAATAAAATGTCAATGAAACAATCAAGGTTTATAATGAACCAATAGAATACGAAAGATACGATATTTGATGAAGCTTAAGGACGAGTATTTAGTCCACATTTTGGTAGGAAAAAGTTGACCAATCAACTGTCTTTCTGTTTATGCTAACTAGTTTCCCATTGTTATGTCGGATGGAATTGATCACCCTCTATTGGCATTACCTTTATATTGCCTGAGAATTGGTTATGTTGTATCAACAAACAGCTGGCATAACCCACAGAATCTTATGTCAACTTGTGGTCCCTACTCGTCTACTCATAGAGGTAAGTCAGTAGTTATAATAATAAGTCATCAAAAGCTTGCTGAATTAGATTCTGAGTTTCTTATTGGCAATGAATCCCTAAATTGCTCATGAATATGAAGTATGGCATAGCAGATATCATAGGGATTAAGTGTTTGAGGATGGCTTGTCACAGATACAATGTTGCATTGTTTTGAAAGCAGTTTACCTTTATTCTTCACAAAAACTACTTCAATATAAGTACTGAGAAGTGAAAAAAACATACGGACATGAGTAACAATGTATCTGTCTGCAAGACAACAACAGAATCGTCGGTTTATCAGACGCTTTAGCCTACAAACTATTCCTAAACCCAATTGAATACAACTGAAGTGAATTGTCTTCAAGTAAAATACCACTAGTTTTAAATCCACTGAACATCCAAATACAATTAAGAGCAGTAGAAAATGAGCCACACTTTACTATCTGATAGCTGATGAAACTACCTGGCTTCCTAAACCTCCATAGGGTAAGTGAAATAGACTGAAAGGAAGAAACACTCTGATATGAAGTTGTGTCAAGGTTTTTATACTGAAAAATAGCTCGACTCACATAACTCCGTAGCCTTGTGGAGAATCTTTATCTGTTTAAAGCAATGAGTGTAGGGATCAAAGCTTATTGGGAATACCATCGTTTACTGCGATTTAGGTACATCAAAATGATGAATCTTCAATATAATGAAATACACGTTAAGCTTTCTACTGTTAGCTATCAAATCAAAATCGAAAATGAGACATCTCTCCAATAGGAAATTGGAAACATCAAGAATTAGAGATAAATTATTCAACTGAACAAATTAGACTATGTATGATACAGGACTACTGAAAAAAAATTGTTGCCTGTTTGCATAATTTTCACTGATAGTTGATGAGGCTGAAGAGACAGAAGATAAAAATAAAGGAATTCTATAGATCAAAGACATAAAAGGCAAGTTTCAAAGTATACAGTACAAAAAATTAGGTACTCTGGGAATAATTATACATTTTGAAAAACATGAAAATCTGTAATAAAAAATGTCTTTCCTTTCATCGTATTGGGTACATTTTTTTTCCATGGAATTATTATCATCCGGGTAAATATATATACATATATATCGTGATGTTGAAATGGTTGAAACATTTCATGAGAAGTTTCCTCAATATTTTTAAATCCGTTAATTGACTTCCATCACCGATAAGATACGATAGAAGGGAAGTTATTTATCCTCATGGATTCAAACCCATACGATTTAGTGTTGGAGTTGGAAACTGAATAATTGAGGTAATCAAAACGCAATTGACCTTTTGTTCGCTTGAATTACAATAAATTGATAAGTTACTGGAGAGTAAACAACTTCATGTTGTTTAGTTCACCGAAATGGCCTAATTCTATAGATCATTTTACAATTAGATCACCTATATCAGCAACTGACAATCGTGGTGGACTTTGATTGAAGGTAATTAGTAGGAAATCATACTTAACCTAGGTTTCACGTATATTGGCACTGGTTAGTAGCCTCAAGGGAGATGTTATCCCTTAAAAGATTTCAATCCGTATCACTCAGTACAGCAATCAAAGAACTTATCACTGAGGTGTTGAATACCGCAAACTATTTATTTTTTTTCCCTTGGGTTCCTAGTGGAACATAGGGCTTCAGTAGCACATCTCTAGTGTACTCTCTTCTCTGCAGTCTTTTCAACCTGGCGCCATGACTGCCCACAAGCTTTCATTTCTTCCTCACATGACCTTCTCCATGTCACCCCTGCCTCGGACACCCAACTTATCGTTTCACTTTGGATTCCACTCGACAGCTTGGCACGTAATGTTTCCAGTTGGCCTTCTCAGTGTATGCTCAATCCATCTCCACTTTATTCTGCATATTTGTTGGGTGATGGATTCTTGGTTGGTTCGTTGCCTAAGTGAGTTCTTTGTTGTTATTCTTTCTGGCCATGTGATCTTCAGTATCGAGCGTAGGCAGCTGTTGATGAATGTCTGTCTATTTACTTAAACTCTGATATTAATATAAGTGCAGAACTTGAGAACTGTGGTAGAATGTTATCCCATTTTAGATTCGTTTATTTGATTTATAACATAGTGATACAGTATTATTTACTTGATGACGTTTCGAGCATAAATTATCATCACTCATAATCAAATCAATGTAATCATACTACTTTCGACATTTGATTTTTATAGCTATGTCACCTCATATGATTTGTGTTTATTGGTAGAGAAATTTTCCATATCTCTGGTATAGGTGTTACATCATTTCTACTACATGTGTTAGGTGTTGATTCGATGAAGAAAGATTCAGTTATCAATCCCTCCCTCTCTCTCCACTTAATTATATAGGACTTAAGCGTTACAGTGGTTTTATCCCACTCACCCTATTATATGCTAGTGTGCTAATCCATCCATTCAAATAGACGAGTGTTTCTCCTTGAACTATTGATCTTAATCGGGTCTGTCATTTTACATTTAACTGAACCAGACTGGCTGGTTTCACCTATTTACTTGACTTCACAGTCACTGTATGCTATTTGATAGATTAGATTATTTCGCTTAATTGGTTCCATCGAATCTTTAAGCCGAGTAGGTTACCTCTCAGTGAGTTTGTAGGTTTAAATGCCACACTAATTTCAG